AATTATTTAAATTCCATTTGAAATGACAAGTCAAGAACTGCTTTGATTATTCATAATAAGCAATCAGGAATAGATGGTTCAAATTTACTTTGTCCACTGATTACCAAGAAATAACCTGACCCAGTTTCCAAAGAAAGCTGTTTCACTGACCCGCCTTAGAAAACAGTTGAGAGCCTCCCTGGTGGCACAGGGTTTATGTTGCAGCTCTGAGGCTATCTACACAGTTCACCCCTGAGGCTATCCACTGCAGTAGTTCACCCCCTGCCAGGGAGGTGACCCACATGGCACAGAAGACCTGTCACCTGCTACGACCCTCAGCAGCATATTTGGGTGAATCTGCCTGTTCTGCTCCCCACTCTGTCTCTGGTGAATCCTCTCACCTACCACACCTCTGGCCTGCACCCAGCTCTTGTATGCAAAAATAAATCTTTCCAAAAAAAAAAAGAAATTTCATTTGGTGTCCCTGTCCCTATTCCAGTACACAGTGCCCCTAAATTTCTCTAATTTGCAGGAACATGGGACTTACAGCATGTGTTTTCTGGCAGAGAAATGCTTTGTGTCCCAAGAATTTCACTGTACCTCAGCCTAAAAACTAAGTATTAACACAAAATGTTGTTTAAATATCTACAAATAATAAATATGTACTGACTTAAGTTTAATAATAATCCTTAATATTTGGACATAATTTTTAAAGATTTATTTATTTATGCATACAGAACTGGGGTACAGGCTAGAGGATTCACCAGAGTGTGGGGCAAAACAGGCTGACTGATGAAGTACACGGCTGAGGGGGGCAGTGGGCGGGTCAGGAGAGGTCTGCCACCGCCATGTAGATCGCCTCCAGGGCTGGAGATCAAACTCATGCTGAAGTGGCTTTAGCTTCTTAGTGCTGTGCTTAAGCACCCTGCGCCACCAGGGAGGGCCCTATTTTTAAAGTAGACTATATAGACAAAGAAGTATTACTACTTGGCTTCATGTTTTTCTTAGTACTTTCTTTTCAGATGTTCTTTTACATTGAAACTAATTCTTCAATTGTAACTGGAACCTGGAAGATTAATTTAAAACACTTCTCAGCTCAGTGTATCTTAAATGATTTTAAAAATAGGATACCCTAAATATTAAAGAAAATGCACTGTAACTAGACACACTGAATGCTAGGTAACCTGAATTTCAGTCCTATTGTCATTATTCATCAATATGACCTTAGGCAAGATACTTAATGGCTCTCTTCTTGCCTTTGGTTCCACCTGTTTGACACACCACCTTTAAAATATAGTTTAAAACCACCACCATCTTATTATATTTCACAATCATATCAATCAGTAACTCAGCAATCAGTGATCAGTAACTTGACAGCTCCAAGTGACATGAATGGGCTTTTGGTGCACTCTTTTTGGTGCAGCTGGGCTGTACTAACAGTCACTCACATACTTGGTGCCTTGTTTACCTTTATTGTCACAAACAGCAGGATTTCGTTCTGACAGTATTCCATTATACTTATATACCACATTTTCTTTTCATTCATCAAGATATCTCTTTCTACTCACTTAGCTTGTTTGAATCCAATGCTCCAGTCCACTACTCAAGAAGTACTTAAAGAAAATGTTTCCTGAACTCTTGCACATTGATGTTAATGATCTTTATACTTAAAACACCAATTTTGTTAGGTAACTTTTTGCGTTTTTGCCATTAAATATCTTTAATGTATTTATTTATGCATGCAGAACTGGAGTACAGGCCAGAGATGCAGGGACAGTGAGAGAATTTACCAGAGACAGAGTGGAGAGCAGAATAGGCAAATGAAGCACACTGCTCAGGAGAGCAGCAGGAGGGTCTGGAGAGGTCTGCCACACTATGTGGACGAGCTCCCTGGCGGAGAATTTAACTTGCACTGAAGCAGCCACAGCCAGCTTAGCAGTGCTCCGCTCCAACTGGCTATACCACCAGGCAGGGTCCTAAAAGTTTATTTAAGTAAATAATTTTTAAATGTTTGACTAATTTTGTTTTTATATGGTTTTGTGATTGAACTTGTCGCAGTGCTATACTTTAACCCGTTGTACCATCAGGAAGGGCCTCTATGAATGTTTTAAATTTGTTCCGACTGACACAGTATGACTGTTTAGGTCTTATTCTTCCATGTCTGTCACTGTCTTTGTATAGGTAGCCAAGTCCAAGGTTTCTATCTGGGATAATTCTCTCAACAAGCAAGGTGTTTTTGCAAGTATCTTTTTTTTTTTAAATAATATGTTTATTTTTACATCATTTTGTGCCAATTATCTTTTTGAAGATATTCTTCAAGTAATGTTGTTCTATCTTTTAATCTAATTGTCATTTGCCCACTAACCCATTTTATATCTTCTCTGATTTCTAGCTAGCCCCTTTCACGTTCCATTTCCCTTAAAGAATCATCTGATTATCTACTTGTGTACATTCTTGTTTAGTCTCATTTCTAAATTCATCCCTGTTGTTACAAGTCATATTTTTGGTATGATCATATTGCATATCATATACAAACATAATTCATTTTAAAATAATAGGTCAGTTTTAAGAACATGCCTTTCTAGCTCACTTTCAAGGTGTACAGGATGTCTGATTCTCTATTTTTGGTTACAGATTTGCATGTCTAATTTTGTTATCTTGTGTAAAATCAGTTTTTTTGAACTTTTAGAAAAAAGGCTTGGAATTCATGGTAATGTTTGTAACTTCACAGAGTTCTAAGTTATGTTATTTTTGTAAAGTACTGAAAAATATGCCAGCTACTTTCTGAGGATTTCCTGGCTCAATTCTTTTTTTACCATTGTGGACTTATTATTTTTTATTATGACAAAATTAATATTAATGTTATTAATTAATATTATAAATGACATTGTATAAGTTTGAGATGTACAATATGTTGGTTTGATAAATAGTTCCTGGCTCTTTTAAATAAAGGCTATGACAGATACAAAGATAGATTAGATATGATAGTGCGTAAAATAACACTTTTTTAGCCAGAAAACATATTTTATGTTCCACAGAAAGATATGGAAATAAAATGCCCTAAGAGAAAAATAAAAAAAAAAAAAAATAGCCCTTTTCACAAAAATATATATAACTCAAATACAAATGCAGAAGTTTAATATGGTTTTGTAGCCAGTTCTACCTTGAGTAATTGAGTTCTGTAGGTAATGAAATCTGCTATAAAATATAATCCTATTTTAAAATGGAAGAGAAAAACTTCAATATAAATGTTTTGGATGAAAAATACTCTACAAATATAATAAATGAATTTTCCATCCATGCCAGTAAATCCTTTAGTATCACTTTATCTCAGAGAACTAAACATATCTTCCATGGTAATTTGTCTGGTATTTAGAGAAGCAAAATTTTCCATGCAATGTATTACAGTTATCCTTTATAAAGATGCATTAAAGATAAGGAAAGATGCAAACTATCTGGAAACATACACTATGGTGAAATACTATTCAATTAAAAACCTTTTCCACAGGATTATGGTGATGGCACACGGGTGATTTGGCGATGGGAAACACGCGGGGATTACAATCGAGATGGAAAAAAAAATGTACAAAATGATGTAAAAATAAACTTTTGGAAAAAAAAATAATAAACAAACAAAAAAAAAAAACCTTTTCACACAAGAACCTGCTTGATGAGGTTCTCATTGGTCCCAGGAATAAGCTGAACAGAAGAATAAAGAGTTCAAGTAACTGAAAACAGTGAATTTTTCTTTAAAAGCACATAGTGACACCAACAGAAAAAAATTAAAGAGCATCAATGAAAATTGCCAAAGCACAGAAAATTACCTGAAAACTGATAAAAGGAGAGGATCAAATACTTTCCTGTCATTCCTGTATAAATGAAGCCCATAATAACTATATCTAACTCGAGAGAATGGAGCAAGATTCTTCTATATAAAAGAACTCTAGGTAATATATGCAATAGTTGCAATAATGTTGTAAGCCTTAACAAAATGCAGGAACACCTCGAAAATATTGTGGGTTCACTTTCAGACCCACAATAAAAGCAAGTCACACTTGTTTACTAAGGCATGTAATGTTTACACTGATCATATACCACTAAGTGTGCAATAGCATTATCTGTAAAGAAAACAAAGTACCTAACTTAAATGTGAAACAGCTATTGGAAAACTGGCTTAGCTTGGGGTTGCCACAAAACTTCAATTTTTGAAAAAGTGAAACAAAGTAAAGATATGCTTGTAATTGATTCAGGCAAGTATAACTAAAGCATGCTATCAAAAATATAACATGAACAGACTATGAGGAGCTTTTCCTACAAAGGAGTCAGTCTTCTGGCTGCGTGCCAAATGATCAATCTGCACTTCATTAGAAGTAGAACAACCAGAATTAGAATTAAAAGCCTCTTAATATAAAGTGTACCACTCTTATCAAGTATTCTTGCTCAAAAATATGAAAGAAGAATCTAATAAATCCTCTGCAGATCTAACTTTGAGAATATGGGGTAAATGATGGATAAGTTAAATAAGAAAGTAACTGACCAAATTCTATCTGTGGGCTACTCTATAGGCAACTCACATGATTCTTTCAACATGTCAGTTATTTTGGACACTAGGGAAGACAGGGGTAACTAACTTGAATTTCAAAACACTCTAAACACAAAACAATCAAATACACTGTATAAACCTTACTAGACCTGATGTAAATACATTTTGGAGACAAGAGGGAAATTTTTAAATAGACCAGATTAGCTTTGTCAGTCAGGTCTGATAGTGACATTGTAAGTTAGTGTGAAAATATTCTTTTTGAACAATATCAACTATTTAAATTAAAATAATATTACATTTGAGATATATTTTTTAAAAAATTAAAGAGAGATGAAACAAACCATTGAAGCTTATTAAAGCTGGATTACCAATATACAGAGATTCATGACATTATTTTCTGTCTTCATGAACACTTAGACCTTTTTGTAATAATTCGTAAAATCCTAAAGTAAATCACTTTCAAGAAACATTCAACAAATATAACTGACAACGTTTATTATCAAGAAACTTTAGCAGGTTTTTAAAAAGACTTCTCTTGTAGAAGAGTGAAAGATGACAATCCACAACAGAACATATACAAACAAGGATAATTAAAATATTAAATACTATCTAAATTAAAAGACCATAATTCAAATTGTTAATTATAATCTTTGTGTCTTGTTAGAAGCAGCTGTATAGTTTACCCTTTCTGAAATTTACACTACCAACTCACAAAGGCTACAGTCTCACCACAAAATCAGTTATATAAATTATAGTAACCAATGCTGAGTTTTTTGTCCATAAGCATGCACTGCAACAGAAAGCACAAAATCTTACTTACAGGAATCCTGTTTCTTTAAAACATATTTCAAGCATCTTTTAAAGTGCAAGCTACAAATATGCTGTATCCTTAAAGAAAAGACCTTCTAAAGAAGTAAAACATACCTATCCAAAACTGCCAAGGGTGGTTATATAACTAACCAAAGAAAACCTGACAGCACTCTAACTTTGTTTTAATGTAGCAGCTTCCTCCTCTGTAGTTGATTTCTTAGCTCTTACTATGCTACCAGCCAAACATATACTCCATGGCTTTGGATACAAGACTTTCATCTTTTTTTGGTGTTTGTCGGTCAGAAATAACCTATTAAAAAAAAAATACAAAAATCTGTTAGGTTATAGTTCCTTTGGTGTCATAATAACCATTTACATAGTTAGTCCCTAAGACTCAAACACTACAATGCATTTGTACAGTAAATAATATAAAAATTAAGATACAAGTTTAGTTAGAACATTCTTATACTCCTAAGAATGGCAAAACTTTATTCTTTTGGCAAATCAAATTACATCTCCTCCACAAATTAGGAAACTAAACAAACACAAATCTATAGAGATAAGGTTTTAAAGTATCAGCTCCAACAAAAACTAAAGAGGGAAAAATGTTCTAAAATAATCTCCAAATTTCAGAGGAAAACAAAAGAATAGGTTCTCACTGCCTATCCCACTATAAAAAGCACAAGTGTTTTACTTTTATGACCTGTGTCTACAACTAGACAAGTTCACAAGTCTTTAAGTAGGGGACAATAACATACAGATGAGTCACAGTACTTCTACCATTCTTTAAAAAACATAGCAAAAGGCTTCTAATGGAAGCCTTTAAACATTTTTGAGATGAAAATTTTGAAGTAGGAGTTTGGCTTTCTTTTGATAACCAAAGTTATTCTAACCTGAGGGTCTTCATTTGTAATACCTTCAAATTTGGTCATCAATTTAATAGGGCTTTAATATTTCTTCATGTCAGAGATATCCACGTTTGCAAATATAACTTAAAAAAAAAACCTAAAGTAACAAGATCAAAATGTTTTTCTAAAGTTACTTTTCAATTCTACAAAACTCTAAAGGTTTTTAATAAGAAATTTAAATTGAATTGCTTAAAGATTTAATTAAGGCAATCACTTCAGTAGGAAATATTTAATAACATACAAATCAATTCAATGAAAAAATTAAACATGCTATACACTTCAACCTTTAAATTATATTCATTTTCCTAACTGTGAAATACCTGATAGTCACTAGTAGAAGCTTTGTATGCTGTAGCAAGAGGTCGCATGGTAGAAATCCTAGGAGTACTTCCAGGTTGGATTGGTGTACCTAAAGTTTTGATAGGTGGTGTAAAGGCTAGAGATGGGGATGATAAAGTATATCTGTCACTGTTTTCCATAACGTTCTGGAAAAACAAAGATAAAGGAACTTTTTAGTATAAACATAATACATATTATTCAATATTATATCCTCTGTACACAGAAAACTTACAAAAGAGGCATACTTTATATATCCTAATTAGCTATTCATATAATTTTCAGCTCAATGAAATAATATATGCTTCTTGGCTAACATTTGAGATCTAACACTCAGCCAGCAATCTCACTTCAACAACCTCAAATATCCTCAAGATGACAACAGGTTTACAAGAGTAAGAAGTTTCTAATAAACATTGTGGAAAATTCACCAAAAAAGAAGAAAAATTCTTAAGGAAAAAGGAGAGTAGTGGTAGTAAGAATCACAGCCAAATACTATTTAGTAATCAGTAATTCAAACTCTCTAGGCTCTGCAAACGTCTGTTAGAGTACAATGTAATAATGATATAACTACTCATTATTATCAGATTACGAGGACAAGAAGCCACGTTAGGGATTGAACTCGCACTGAAGCGGCTGCAGCCAACTTGCAGTACTGTGTCCTAACCCGTTGTGCCACCAGGGAGTCCTTAACATATATTTAAAGGGTAATGATGAAAATTTTACAAGCCACAAAGATTATTTACATTATGCTCAGTACTGCTTTTAAGTGTGTAATTTTAAAATCAGTTCCAGCAATTTAAGTCAACCTTAAGTTGCCATCTGTAAAATTAAGGAATTGAAATGGATCATCTCTAAATTCTAGTCTTGTGACTAAGTATTTCTGCTTTACCATGAAGAGTATTATGTCATCACATTTGGTAAACTAAGAGTCACAATGAAGCAAAGTGACATAATCCCAATGTCAATAGTCCAGTGATCTTCAGATAGATTAAGCTGTTTTCCTTACATACATAATAACTTACTTTATCTATACATGGTTTCACACCAATCATGATGGACTCTCCAAAAATCCTCCCATCTTTACTTAAGGCCTTCCGGGCCTGCAATTTAGATTGGTAACGAATATGCATCCAATTCCCTGTGTTAGACATCTGTAAAGAAATCGTTTCTTTAAATAAACATACACACAATCTAAACTTAATTAATTCTATGAGAAAATGGAAGATAGATTCTAATTTCTGATAGCCTATAAAAAAGGATTCAACAAAAATTCTAGTTTCAATAATTCTATCTACTTCTTAATTCTCCAATATAAAGAACATGTGGCAAATATTCTCTGAAAGTAAAGTAATTCTCAAAAGATGACTGTTTCTTATGAAAGGGTCCTATCAACACATGCTATGAAATCTTTAAAAACCGATTTTGTGTAGGAGTTAAAGAAGTCAATTTCCAGTAATACGTATGTTACTTATAATTTTTGAGCACGGTAACAGTTTTTGAAAGTGCTCTACACATTAAAAAAGCCCTAGAAACAAATTCTATGTCAGGAACTTCTCCCTTTTCAATTATACCTAACAAATAAGCTCAAATTACAAAATAACAATATTTGGCATAATCTTTCTCCCTCTCTCTCTCTCTTTTTCTTTTGGTAGAGGGCTGACTTTCAATAGATCCCACTGAGGGAGCTGCTCTGCAATAAACGATATACCAACCTAGAAGCAGGTCATCTACAAATGGTTTAGCGCCAAATGTCCATAATCTTAAAGAAACTAAAAAATAATGGTAAAAGTAAGCCTCAAACTCTCATCCTCCTGCTTATATTTCCTACCCCTTTTTATAAAACATGCAACTTCCAATACAGACATAGTCTATGAAAAGTTAAAAAGACAAAATTTTAAGTTTGGGGTAAAAGAGATAAAATTCAGCAGTAAGCTTTCCATCAATTCACAGCCTATTTTTCTCAGTCTAAATCTTAAACTGAAAAGAATTAAGTCTTACCACATGCTTTAAGATATTTCCATATTGTGCAAATTGTAATAATATATAAGAAGCAGATGCTTGAGGAAACCTGGAAAAAAAAGAGTTGTCAAACAGTCATTTTCACAATAAATACAAATGCAGATTACCATACTTAGAAGTGTTTCAATATATATTATACAACATGATGATCACAGTTAATAATACCATATTGCACATTTGAAAGTTGTTAAGGGAGCATATGTTAAAAGATCTCATCACAGGGGATGGAATATACAACAGTGTACAGCTAAGTGATATTTACTAGATGTTTTGTGGTGATCATTTGACAATATATGTTAATTACACCTTACTAAAACCAAAAAAAGATTACAGAATAAAGATGAAAGCTAATACAACATGTGATCCTGGACTGTTTCCTTAAGAAACTAAGTATAAAAGGACATTAATGGACCAATGCTGACATTAGAAAATATATTTCAATTAGATAATGCAATTATACCATGATAAAAGTCCTTATTTTTTATAATTAAAAAAAAAATCCCAACTCCCCCCACACACACACACACTCCCCCAGGAGATCCCTGGTCATCCTGTTTTTTCCTTTCTATTAACTATTGATAATTTCATCATTTCCCACAACCCAAAAGTGCCTTTTTGCAGATAATTTATATGTTATGAGAGATAAATAGCTACATTACAGCTACTTAAAAAGAGTTAAAAATACAGTCATCCTTTTACATTGAGTAACACCTAGAAAATTTAAAATTTAGTTCTGACACAGATTTTAAAAAAGTACTATTATCAATGATTTAGAATATTTTAAAGGGTGGCTACCAAAATTTTCATTGTCCTATTCCTGACTAGTAAAACTCTAGATGACTTTTGTCTTCTTCTTACATGGATTAAATATTTTATAATATTCAGCTCAAATAATAAAGCTATTTTCAACTTGAAAACCAGGAGTTTCCTTAATTAGTTAATTTATATGGAGCTTGGCATGGAGCCCTACAGAAAAAAAATCTAACTCTCAAAAGTAAATGGGAAATCCCATACATGAAAATCTGTGTGAATAAAATATTTACTGTACTCAAAACTAGAATTCTGTTTAATGTATAAATTTGTATATAAGACTGTAATCCCAACTAAAAGCAACAAGTGAAACAGGACATGTATAAGGCAGGAATGAGAAAATAAAAATTAAAAAAATAAAGATGAAAGGAATGGTAAAAAGTAAAACAAAATTGACTTTAAAACCATTTTGAATAGAAATTAACATTTCAATGTCATGAAAAAGAATCACTATTAACAAGGAATAATATCTAATGATTTGGAGTCATTTATTTTAAATTATAAAAAAATCATAAAATTTTAAATTATCAAAAAATATCATAAATAATGACTTTGACATTCTTCTCTATTGATAGTGAAAATAAAATTCTTTATTCCTTAAAGAAGTGATTGAGTTCCTACAATTAAATTTATATAGAAATCAGTAAAACACAAAAACAGAAAATAATTCCCTAGAAAAGTATATGTAGTATAAACAATGAAAAAAAAACTAGCAAAAGTACTTCAAGTAATTTATCCAATACCATTACTACCCAACCTGTAAAACAAACTTCAGAGTGGACATCCAAGTTAAAAAACATACAGCATTTTCATGAGAGAATATAAAAAGGTAAACATAGAAGGAAGAAGAAGAAAAAAAAATCAAGAAAGGAGCACAACCACTATGCAAATATAGCTAGGCCTACTCAGGTTTTCTGAAATTCAAAAACAAAGGAAGCAACATTCCTGCTTTTTACCTAACAGAATCATCCACACATTCTCTTTGTAGGTCACAGAATAGACTGGTGGAAATTATTGTCTTAAAGGCAAGAAAAATTGCAGTTAGGAAGGAAAATGTAAAGAATACCTTTTTCACTGTTTATTTCTTAAAGATTCTTGAATTTTAAATTTTAAATAAAGTATATAAAGTTAACCTTTACTGTGAATTGTTCTTCAAGGAACTAATGTGCTATTTTTCTATCTTAAAATTAAATATATTAAATATATTAAGATTCATTATCATTATGAAATAAACATCATGTAGTATAGTACAAACAATAACAGTTTGAAAATCAAAAAAACTTAAGTTTTCTAATGAAACTTTTCTAGTAACTAGGTGCACACCTCTGAAAACATCACTTACTCTGCCCTTTATCTCAAACTGTCTCACTCTAAAAGGTGCAATATGATCTTTAAGACACTTCCAAATTCTTTTTGGATCTAAAAAACCATTCAAAATACATCTAGAACTTTTATGCACTATTTATCTAGTACACGGTATTTTCTATTGCTATAAATTAAGTACTAACTCCGTAGGTACTCAGTAAGTACTGACATAGCATTTATTCACAAAACAAATTCAATTTGTTCAAAACTGGTTATGTGCAGAGAAGCAGCTTAGAGAAAGAGGGGATGAAAATCCCTAAAGTGTAAAGAGGTAACTTTGTCCAATATCCAGAAAATATGCTGAAGAGAAAAGAGCATAAAAATTAATGAGTAAGGCTTATAAAAATAACCAAACACTAGTTAATAATATGCATACTGGGAAGTGTCTATCTGCAACTTAGTCTGAAGTATCTGAGTAAAAATAGGACAGATAGATAGATGTAGCGGTGTTTAAGTTTTTGTTTTTAAATATAACTGAGAAATCTTACCCAAACACAGTTACCCAATTGTCATCAAGATGATCTTCAGAAGTCAGAGAATCTCCTTGAGTATAAAAAGGGTCCAACTGAGCAGGAGACAGTGTTGTCTTTCGTGGCTGACCAATGTTTGCTGGACTAAATATACTTTGTCCTATATTAATATATTTAGTAAAGTTGGTTACCAATATAAACATCCTGGTTTATTTTAAGTTAAATCTCTTAAATGAGAAAATATATTAAAAGTTGTCAATCGCATAAATTCCAATAGATAAAAATAAACAACTGTAATCAAATAATTTATACTATGCTACAATTTGAGAGGAAGCTGTTAGTAACGGAACATAACTTATGACACTGCCTGCTAAATGTTTTATTAATTTCTAATTAAATCAGTAACACAAAGATCTCCACTCAAACTCGACGATTTATTGGATGCAGCTTCCAAATTTACCACTTTCATCAAGGATCTCTGCTTTAAAAATATTCAATAGCTCCTCAGTATCCACAGAACAAAATCTAATATGCACCCAAAGTATCTACCCTAGATGGTAAGGAAATCCAAAGAAAAGGAGTAAAACTCAAAAAAATTAACAAAGACGTGCAAGAAAACTCAAAATGTCCTGAGGAAAAAAAATTAGCAAACAGGAAATTAAAATTGAAGGTTTAAATAAGAAAATAACGGAGATGGAGGATCTAAAAGAATAAATAGAAGAGAAAAAAATTCTGGAGAAAACTATAGAAGATCAAATGGCAGAAGAAAAAAAATATGATTTCACAAGGAGTTCTCCCAAACCTTCAAAGATGTATTAATACCTATCTTTCCCAAATTCTTGAAAAAAATCAAGAAAGAGGTAATAGGAATACTTCCAACACATTTTATGAAGCCAACATTACCCTAATGCCAAAACCAGGCACATCCATAAAGAAAACTAAAAACTAACTTCCCTAATGAACACAGAAGTAAATATCCTCAACAAAATCTTAGCAATCGGAACTCACCTATGCATTAAGAAGATTATTATGCAATAACCAAATGTGATTTATATTAGGGACATAAAGATGGTTCCAAATCTGAAAATCCATCAATGTAATTTACCATATCAATAAAAAGATAAAAACCATACAATCATACCAATAGATCCCAAGAGAGCAATTGGTAAGATTCAACATTTATTTATGATGAAAATCCCTGAAAACCGGGGATTGATGAGATATACTTCAACATTATTTAAAGGTCATGTATGGCAAACCCACACCAAACATTATTCTTATAGGTGAAAACCTGAAAAGTAAAAAGGTAAAAGGCAAGAATGTCTACCTTCACCACTGCTACTCAGTATAGTATTGGAAGTTCTACCAGAGAAATAGGCAAGAGGAGGATATCAAAGGAATACAAATTGAGAAAGAAGTAAAACTTATTTGCAGATGACATGATAATTGAGAACCCTAAAGACTCCACTTTAAAAAGCCCACTAAAACAATACATCGGGCAGGTTACAAAATCAATAAACATCATCTGTCTTCCAGATAGGCAAATAATTAACCAGAGGAGGCAATCAGGAAAACAATGCCATTATTTTATAATTATATCAAAAAGAATTAAATAAACTTAACAAAGGAGGTGAAAGGCCTATGCAAAGAAAACTATTAAGAAATTGTTAAAAAGAATTAGCATTGTCATCTTACTCAAAGCAAAACCTATCAAAGTTTCAATGGCATTCTTTAAAGAAATGAAACACTGCTGTACTTTATATGAAACTACAAAAGACCCTGAGTAGCCAAATCAATCTTGACAAAAAAGATTTAGAATGGTACTATTAACCCCATCTCAAACTATACTACAAAGCTATACTAAACAAAAACAGTATAGTACTAAAAAAAAAAAAAATACACAGATGAAAGCCCAGAAATAAACTAACTCCTATATGGACTGTTAATCCACCACAAAGGAACCAAGAATATACACTGGAGAAAGTAATCCTCTTCAATAAGTGATAATGGGAAAACTGGACAGCAGCATCCAAAAGAATGAAATCAGACCATGGTTTCATAAAATCAACTCAAAACAGATAAGACTTGAATATAAAACCTAAAACAATACATAGAAGAAAACAAAAATACTCCAGATCACAGGCTTCAGAGATTTCTTCCAGTGTTAGTCTACAACAGCAAAGAAAACTAGAAAATATAAAAAACTGGGACTGTGTCAAACTATATAAAAAGCTTGAAATGGGCCCTCCCTGGTGGCACAGCAGGTTAAAGCACAGCACTGAAAAGCTTAAGCCACTTCCGCATGAGTTCGATTACTGCCTGCCCCCGAGATCCACATGGTGTGGCAGACCTCTCCTGACCCGCCCGCTGCTCCCCTCAGCAGTGTACTTCGTTGATCTGCCTGTTCTGCTCCCCGCTCTGTCTCTGGTGAATCCTCTCACCCTCCGCATCTCTGGCCTGTACCCCAATTCTATATGAATAAATAAATCTTTAGAAAAAAAAAGCTTGAAATGAAACTATCACTAAATAAAAAGAAACCCTACTGAATGAAAAAAAATATTTATGCATACATCCAAAGGGATTGATTATTCAAGATCTACAAAAGATTCATACAACTAAACAAAAAGAAAATGAATAACCCAATGGGCTAAGAGCTAAACAGGCACTTCTTCAGACAAGACACCGAGATAGGCAAAAGGTACACGAAAAAATGCTCATCATCACTGATCACCAGGGAAATGTAAATCAAAACTACAGTGAGATACCACCTAACATCTGTGAGAAAGGCCCATATCAAAAATATCAAAAACAAGTGTTTGTGAGGATGTAGAAAAAAAGGAACCCCCTTACACTGTTACTAAGAATGCAGTGGTCCAGACCCTATGGAAAACAATATGGAGGTTTCTCAAAATAATTAAAAATGGACCATATCAGCCAGCAATCCCATTCCTAGGTATCTACCTGAATATAAAAACACTAATTAAAAGAGGGAAGATACACGATTCACTGATATCTACAATAGCCAAGCTATGGAAACAACCTATGTACTCAAAAAAAGATGTACTCAAAAAAAGATGAGCAGACCAGGAAGATGTGTTACACATACATAATGGACTACTTACTCAGCTGTTATAAAGATAAACTCAGGCCATTTGCAACAACATGGACAGAGCTAGACTGGATTAATGCTAAGTAAAATTTAAGTTAAAATGAGACAGATACTAGACAGTGTCACTATATTTGGAATATAGTGAAACCAAGCAAAGGGTCAAATAGTCAAACTATTAACAAACCCTAGAAATATGATGCAGGCCTGAGGCTACCTGAGGGGAAGGTGTGAGAAGAAAATAGTAAGGGAGCCCAATGAACCATAGTGGTGAACCATGGGCGCTCTAGTGGGAGGTGAGGTGTATTAACAATACCTGAAGAGGGAGATTCTATACCTTTAAAATACACAGAATATTGTAAACCATTGTCACCTCCAATTATAATATACATAATACACACACACACACACACACACACACACATAATGTACTAAGAGCCCTAAAACTAAGAGGTCTGCGAACTGCTTTACAGGGACTTGCACACGAATCACACTTGGTGTTTACTTATTTACTGGATGTGTTCTCTGAAACACATTCTAAATATGTTTGTCATTTGTCATGAATTTTCAACTAAGCTGAAATTACCTTAAGTTACTCCAAAGTCTTTACAGTGTATGTTGGTGGCAATTAGAGACGCTGTGGTAAAAAAAATTTACAAAAGGCTATATTCTGTATTATAATGCTGGGTGATTTAAAACATACAAATCTCTAGGAAGTTATTAAGAAATATATATATATATATATATATATATATATAACATAACTTCATTCAATTCACAATTTTCTATACTATACTTGACCACTTTTACCCTCTTAGAACAGTTATTTTAGAAATGCTGATCTTGTGTCAAGTACCTCTTTATGGGCCTTCTGAAATGCCTAACAGAAGAATTTACAGGAAAGTCTAATAAGAAATGAATAATAAAACTACTATTCAAATACAAAGCTAACATGAAAACCTTTAGCTTTAATTTTCTATTCATGACCACAAAATGATTTACTCTGAACCACACAAAAAGAAGTCCTCTTAACTAAATAAGCTATATTCAATGACCAACAAACTAACCCTTAATAAAAAAAACTGGAGAGTTTTCTCTCAAGATGTAAAACTCAAAGGTCAAAGTAAATTTTTGAAACAAAATTTATTTTGGGAGATTGTTATTTTAGTTCTTCATGCTCCAACTGCTACTGAATTACAAAGCATAATGAAAATATCTATAATCAATTGTGCAAAAAAGCAGTCCAACATCTTGCTTTGTAGACACAACATTTAATTGTTTCAGAAGCCCAGAATTTGATTTGATTGGATGACAGAAAGCTAGCAATGGTATCTATAAGCCAATCATTTCCTTGACAGAGAAGTATCATGTAGTGAAAAGAAGTAAAAGGCTCTACAGTCATTTCACATTTCAGTTCTATTACTTATGGCACAACTAGAGCAAGATATTGATACTTTCCAAACATCACAACTAAAATAAAAACACAGTAACAATACTAATGATAATAACTGTCAAAATGCATTGAGCCTTTTTACTCTAAACATGCTACTTCAGGTAGTTTGCATATTTTTGATACAAAAAAAGCAATTCTGAGATAGAAACTACCATATCCATTTTTAGATATGAAGAATACAAAGGACAAATATATATAAAATGCCTTTACAATATAAGATTAACTAAAAGAGAAAGTTTAGGGGATTTAATAAATACTGGTTTTCATTTTCAAAGCCAGTGTTACCCTGATATAAAAGAGATAAGGACACCACATGAGAAAACTACATAACAATATCTCTAATACAGATGCAAATATTCTCAATAAAATAACAACAACCTGATTCAACAGCATATTAAAAATTCATAAACCACAGTAAGGACACAAATTTCTAAAATGAGGTTAATTTGAAATGAACACCCCAATTCTGACAAAATTTTTAGAAGTATCTGCGTATCAGTTAAAGTGTCAATTATTCTTTTAGGGAATAACTAAAAGCATGCAAAAGATACTCATCTTATTTCCTATTACCATGACTCACCTTTAACACACAAAAGATAGT